CCGTGCCCCCGCGTACACGTTTCGCGGGACCAAGCCGCCTGCGGCCGAGAGCTGCGGGCCAGGTCCCTGCTACTTTGTGCAGCCCGCCGTCACCAGGAACGGGAAGCACGTGGCTCCGAGCGCCCACCTTTGTGGACGCCCCACGACGAAGACCACCGTCACCCCCGGACCCAGTGAGTACCACTTCTGCAGCGCTTCCCCCACACGCGGCGTTTGCCCTGGGTCAGCTCGCGCCCTGATGGAGCCGTCGGTCTTTTGTGAGAGAGCACAAACCGCTGTGAGCAGCGATAAACACGCTCTCCCCTTGGAGAAGGACGGCTGCCCAGCACCACGGGCCGAGGGCACAAGGACCCCGCGTCCGAAAAGAACAGGGAGCCGGGGGCTGACAGGAGGGACAGCAAGGCAGGACATAGTGGCGGGGCACGGAAAAGCGTCCCCGCGTGCTGCCTGCGCCCCCCGGCAATCCTGCAGCCCTTCAGAAGACCCTTTCCTCGGGACGTTGTCCCTGCGGCTGCAGGAGACCAGCACTTCACGGCTTTCTTCCTCTTCTCCTCCGCCCCAGGTGACTACCGCACCGAGGCAGCCAACAGGCACGTCTTCAAGTGCCCACCGGTGCAGTCCATGGCCTTCCGGCGGGAGCCCCTGCGCACAGACCGCCCTCCAGGTACGCTGACCGCGGCAAAGGCAGACCCTTCATCCTGAGCATCCTGCAGGGACGGGCCGCTGATCAGTACCAGCAGCGGGCCGACCGCGCAGCCTGTGCGGCGTTGGGGCCGCAAGCTTTCTGGCGTGACCAACACCTCTCGGCCCGCAGCGGCTCCGGCTGCTCGGGCTCGGAGCTGCCGGCACTGGCCCAGTGCCGGAGTAGAGGCAGGAACTGGCAGAGGGGCGAGCCCTCCCCCCAGCAGGCTGGGCGGGCTGCCCCTCTCTGCTGCTTCCGTCTCCTCCAGCCCCTCACGCACACGCTCTCTGCTGCTCCTCCTGCAGGTCCGGGCACCTACACGCTGCCCAAGCTGATGGGCCCCAATACAGCCTACACGGCGGCCAGCCCCTGCTACTCCATGAGGGGAAGGAGCCAGCGCGGCCGCTTTGACGAAGACCTTGCCAAGGTGAGCTCTGCTGCTCCTCTTTTCCATGTTAGCATCCGAAGCTGGGCTGCTCTCCCTGTGCCAGGGGGCTTCCAAGCCCCAAGCACCTTTGCTAAACGCAGGCTTCCAGGGAAAGAGAGCCTTGCGTGTGATCCGAGCCCCGTGCACCCATGACTCTCTTGCAGACTCCGGGGCCCGCGGCGTTTCCCAAGGTAGCTGTGGATGCCTACAAGACCAGGGCGCCCGCGTACACCATGGCGGCCCGATCAAAACCTGCAGAGGGCAAAGCAGTGAAGCCCGGGCCCGCAGACTACAACATAGGCCGGGTAAGGCAGCTCGCTGCTCAGCTCGTCCCCTCTGTTTCACAAGCACAGCCTTCACACCTCTCCCCCTTGCCCTGAGGCTTCCTCCGGCCAAAGAGCTTCTGGCCGCAGGGACCAAGTGCCGGAGAGCAGGCCTGCTCCCTGCCCTCGTGCCACCTCCGAGCAGAGGAAGGGAGGGCAGCAGAGAAGAGAAGGGCCCTTGCTGATCTGCCTTTCCTTTTTGCCCTTCCAGGTGACGCTGATCAAGCCCCGGGCGCCTGCATCCACTTTTGGAATCCGGCATTCCCTCTACACAACCCCTCTGATTGTGGAATAAATCAGCCACGTCTGGAAGGCCGCCTTTGCTTTCCTGGCATGGGAGGGGCCGGGAAGACACCAATCAACTGCCGGTTTCCACTTGATTCCATTTCCATCTATGGACTGCTTCCATTTCCATCTATGGACTTGATGCCATTTCCATCTATGGACTTGATACCATTTCCATCTATGGACTTGATGCAATTTCCATCTATGGACTTGGGCTTTTGCCCATTTTACTTGAACAATTGTTAGCAATTGGAGTGAGTCATCAATAAAACCAACCCAACACCAACATGTGTGCTTTCTTGTTACTCCTTTTTCCTCCCCGCTGCACACAGGAATGCGCCAGCGCTTCCCGAAGCCTTTCAAACATCAGTGCGTTGGAGACCGCCGATGCTTGCTTGATCAGCCGTTTGCAGTGCTGATGTCTGCCACGTGCTGAAGTAAAGAATAAAGGAAGCAAATGGCAACGGGAGGCCGGCCGCGGGCAGTGCATCCCTTCCAGCGCCGACAGGAGGATTTTAGGGAGGTGCCCGGGGCTTACAGGACAACGGCAGAAATGTTGGTCCGACCAGTTTATTAGAGATCTTAATCAGGGAGGTGGGGAAGGGGAGGACAGACAGTATTTTGAATGAGGGGGATGGGGAAGAGAAGGAGGGCGATAGGAAACATAGGAAAGGAGAAGCAAGGAGTCTCTGCAGGAAGCAAGAGGGAGATCGATGGTCACCACCGTGGATCCAGCGTGGTTCATAGTTCAGTCCGTGATCTTCAGTGGTGGTGGGTCGTCGGGCACTGTTGTTCTGTCGACGACGACGGTGACCACGTGGCAGTACCACCTTATTTGTGAGTCCAGAGGGGTTGAGTCAGCTGTTTTTGGAGTGACAGCTTCTGGCTTTTGGATCTCGGCAGGAACTCCTTTGGTTCCCATCTTCCGGGCCTTGCCAGCAGATAAGAGGGAGCAGGGAGGCGCCCACTTGTATCTCGCCTTGTACCTGCAGGGTACAGTGGGATCATCCCCCAGTCTCCCACAGCAAGCTGGAGACACTTGGTCACAGGCTAGATCTTCCGCCAGCAAACGGTCCTGAGCACTCTCTTGCAAAGGCAAACAGCTACAATTGTCCACACAGTGATGTTGGTTGCCCCACGGCAACACCCGTCACTCATCTCCTAGACAAGTCAGTCTCATCACAAGAAATGCGTCTGGCAGCAAGCTTGGAGCCAGAACAAGGCTGCTTGAAACTGATGTGCAAGTGACCGTTCGTGGTGGTGAGGAAAGAGAGAAGAGAAAGGAAGAAAAGAGAAAAAGTAAGCGGAAGGGAAAAGAGGGGTGGGGAGGAAGGGGGTGAAACGTTACACAGTTGTTAGAAAGGATTTCTTGGGCTTGGTTACAAAGGTCGCCCTGATGCGCTGGGCTTGTTCATCATCAGTTGAAGTGGTTACAAAGCACATGGAGGATACAAGTCCTTGTGTAAGTTGAATCCGCCATGGAACCACGCAAGGAACAAACACGAGAGTGGCAACGGCACACAGAATAGGAGGCGTTTCACCCACGGGCAATTTGTTTAGCAACCTCTTCATTGTCATCCAATTTGTAGGCAACAATTAGAGCCATCCAATTTGCCACAGACACCACCCGGTGACTCCTCAGCAGTGATGGCACCAATGTTACGCAATGAAGAAAAGGTAGAAAGTGAAAAGGGACAACCATACATTTGGCAACAGCCATGCATTGCACAAGAACCAGTAATGACAAATCAGTAAGCAAAACAAACAGAGCTGTTTGGCTCAGCTGCTTTCCCCACTCACTGTGGCCTTCCAATACTCGAAGGCAGTGTATAAACAGGAGGGGGAATGTCTGTCTACAAGTCTCCTAGTGATAGGAGAAGGGGAAACGGGGAGGCTTAGGTTGGATGTGGGGGGGAAGTCTTTCACTCTGACGGTGGTGAGGCACTGGAACAGGTTGCCCAAGGAGGCTGTGGATGCCCCATCCCTGCAGGCATTCAAGGCCAGGCTGGACGTGGCTCTGGGCAGCCTGGGCTGCTGGTTGGCGACCTGCACACAGCAGAGGGTTGAAACGAGATGGTCATTGTGGTCCCTTTCAACCCAGCCTGTTCTGTGATTCTGTGATATGGTTCTATGATAAACACAATTAAGAAGTTGACTAAAGAGTTCATTAGACTTTCGAGATGGGACGAGTTTCTAACTCATACAGCAGCCAAATAGTTGGGAAGTATATGAATGAATAAAGAGAAAAGGGAAAGGAAAATGTGGAGAGCAGTGGAAAGGACATGCGTACAGACTGCCTGCTGAAAAGATACCCTTAACCACAGTCAGGAGAGCTGGAAGCCCCGCGAAGGTAAGGGAGATCATGTAAGCAGCAGAGTAGAGCTGAGGTGGCAGCTGAGTGTGGGTTGCAGGGCATGAACACTGGCACCAGGTGTCGTTGTCCCTGTGCCTGAAGGCATCTATGTCCTCCAAACACGGTGCTGGAAAACATTCTTTGTACTTTTTGTAAAAGAAAAAAGAAAAAAAAAAAAAAGAGAAAGGAAGAAAAAAGACATTAAATCTTCTCAAAAACTATCGCCTGTGAGTCAGGAAATAACTGTCAGGGCGTCCTGCTGTACAATAGTTGACTTCCTGCTGACCTGTCTGCTGTTAGAGTACTGGGAGACAACACAACTGGCAAAATGAAAGCAAACATTCAGTCCCAGAGGAAAAATTGTCTTCCTTCCCCTCCGTTAAAACCTAAAACTTAAAAAAAACCCAAAACCTGTAAACGTTAACAACAATATTCTGAAGGTGAGAGATGCAGGTGCCTGGCATGATGAAATTCAGCGTAGTTAGTAATCTCTGTGACACTACCTTTATTATGTGACACTACCTGCCTTAAGATTGACAACCCAGTAAACAGTGCACCACCAACAAAAAAGGTGTAGTTAATTCTCAATTAAAGTTTTGTAATAATAACTGGAGGGGTGAGAGCAGGTAACTTTTAGGAATTTCCTGTAGAATTTGTAGGAAATGCAGATGAAAGAGGCTTTTAGTGTTACTAGCCTCATGTGGCCACAGCAGATTTCTGTGGTATAACCCCATTCATTGCAATACTGCAGTGCAAATCCATAGTCTTCCATTAATTCAATCCTGATGTCAGTGAGAGGAAAATCAGGCCCACCATTAAGAGCCGAGACTTACCAATAATGTAAAACATTTTGGTGCTGACCTGAGAAAATTACTGGAGTAACTGAATGTTTTTGATGTTGTATGCTGAACACCCTCTAAAACGAAGGGATCATTTAGCACCAAACTCTTTTATTTAAATGGAAAAAAAGAAATTAGGAAAAAAAATACCATTTTTCCCTCGTGTTTATAATCTTTAATAAACTGTTTTTTGGTTCCCCAGAGTTTCCACACACCTTGAAATTAACACATTCCAGAACAGTGCTTCCTCTCATCAGGACTAGTTTCTGCACAAATCTTAGACACCGAGATGGCTGAACTAGGACTTGTCTGCTTTACACTTATTTCCTTCAGAGAAAAAAAAAACAACAACAACCAACAAAACAAGGAATCGTACCCTCAGCCAACAAACAGTGCCCCAGAACCACAAACCACCACCTGAAAACAAGGAACAGAGCCCAGAACAGGGCAGCAGCATCCCAAACAGCAACAGTGCCCAAAACAGGCAAACACTGCCCGAAAATCAAGGAGCATCTCCACAAAACACCAAGATTCCTTCCCCCAAAACACCAAAGAAACCAATCAGAATAATTTTTTTAGGCTGAGGGTTTTTCCCCGTACTCTCCTTCTAAAATGTCACAACAAACCAAGCACCTCCAGGAACTCAGAAAACTGGGAGACTTTCTCCTGGATTTCCCATATACTATAAACCAAAACGTGAGTTCTTTGAAGCTAAGCCATGTTTTTTGCTCAGTTTTCCAGCTCCTCGAGCTTGTCCATGCAATCTGGGTCCAGCCTCTTGATCTTAGTCTCTGTAAAAAGGAAAAAAATGTCAGTGCAAGAAGGAAAAATGTCCCGGGCAATGGCAAGGTGCCACTGCTTTGGGGCTGCTAAAAAAAAGTAAGATTTGTACAGAGGGTTTAAGTGAAAAGCATCAGTTTGGGTTGGGGTGAGATGTGATCTGGGCTCCCACATCAATTTTCATCACTCACTAGGAATTAAGGCACAATTTTCGAAAGAGTTTTTGGCCCCAAAACAACAAACATTTATACAATATTTTAATCTAAAAAATGGAAGATTTGGAAGATGTTCTATCCTAAAAGCAAACAACATTTGGAAAATGTTTTATCCTTGTAAGACAGTCCTGTCCCTTCAATCTCAACATGAATACTGACTGTAGAAAATGAAGAAATAAGATCAGATAATTGAGGTTACTCCACCACTTGGTTTTTCATCTTGCAAACTACACGCTGGTCTCTTTGCCACATTAAGTCTCATCTTTGGGAAACAAAGAGAAAAGGGGAAAAAAGAGAAAGAAAACTGAGAGAAACAAACAAACATTGAGACAACTACAAGGAACAAAGCTCATTCATTGTTGTTATTTAGGAAATCACAGGGACCACTCCAGGGGGCTCACCCTGCATTTTATAACTGGGAAAAGCATGAGAAAAACACAGCTGTGGTGGGAAGGGTAAGGGAACTGAATCACAGAATAGAATTGTTAGAAACCTGTAACAGAATATGGACGAGGAGGCAGCAGGAAGAAACACAGAGAAGAGTGGCCAAAGAAAGCAGAAAACAGGACTGCAAATTGGGGCAGATCAGCGTGCTCAGCCTTGCTTCTAATCCTTCTAGTCTGTCTTCTAATTTTGTATCATTATATCTTATTAAATTATATATTCTTATTAAATCATTTCTCAGCTCTGTCTCTGCAAAGTTCCACTCCCTGTTTGCTTTTTTTAACCAAAAACGAAATTCCAGCTACTGCAGAAGTGAAAGAAGTGAGAAGTGGACGACCAAGTGGTGAGCCTGTAGTCCTTGGCTGCACTGGAGGAACAGAGGAACAAGGGAACACTGCACTCACGGAAATGCTCCTCGATGCAGCGCACGAGGTGCGTGCTGTGGCTGTCCACCATATTGAAGGCAATGCCCCTCTTCCCGAAGCGCCCTGTGCGCCCGATGCGGTGCAAATACGTCTCAAAATCTGGCTGCTTCTGACGGTTGATGGGAAGGCTGAAGTTCACCACAATTGTGACTTGGGCCACATCAATCCCTGAGTGGCAGAGGATTCTCAAAAACAGCTTTTTATCACCCTAAAAGCCATCTCCCAACCCCTTCTGAAGGCTGCTTCTTAATTGCTGTGCACATTGGATGAGATCACTGCTTCACCTGCGTTTCTGATCACTTTTTCTCTCAAATTCCCATTCTAATCCCTCTTTCCTTGCCTTTCTGACCAATTTTTCCTTGCATTTCTGATCATTTTTTTTCTTTTTGTGATCATTTCTGTAATAAACTTGCATTTATCATCCCTTTTGCCTTCGAGTCCCCATCGTGGTCAATTTTTCCTAATTCACAGAATCATACTGAGAAAAGCCTCAGCTTTCATGATAAAGTTCTGCCTATCACTGCATGGTTGGAAACTTGAAGCATGAAACCTAAGTGCTTAAAACTGTTCAAAGCGAGGGGATTTCCACACAACAGGGTCAGAGCAAAGGAATTTTCATAGGGGAAGCAAGCAGATTTTCACCCTTCAGTGTGTCCGTTTTTAGGACTGACCTCTCGCACAGACATTGGTGGTGATGAGAACCTTCTCCTTGCCATCACGAAACCTCTGGATGACATCAGCTCTCTGCACGATGGACAGCTCTGCTGTCAGCATGGCCACTTGGTGCCCATCCTGAATCATCTTCACCGAGAGCCAGTCTGCACTCCGGCGGGTCTGCGTACATGAGAAAAGGCTGAGCTTCCCAGCAGCTCTGCATCTGCTGCTCTCAATCAGCAACCCTCCAACTTCCCCAAATCCTTACTACTGCTTATCTAGCTTAATGCCAATACATCACTTTACCAAATCCTTGCTTGCTCAGTGCCAGTCCTTCACATTCCCAATGCCTGTGCTCCTTTCCATTGAGCCCCTGGTGCTTTGGAATAGACAGAGCCTCAAAATGAGGCAAAAACAAGCAGGAAGTTGGGACACAAAGGAGCAAAAATGAAGCAGCAGGGCAAGAAGTTGTATCACAAAGTGTCTTTGCTAGACACAAAGTGTAAATGTTAAAGAAACAGAGCATGGTTTCCATGCAATGCCCACCAAGGCATTGGTGGTCTCAACTATTAGGCACTGTTACCACACTGAGTTTTGAATGCTGTGTGCTTTCCATCCTTCCCCTGCATTCATTGTGGCAATCTATGGAGCAGCACTGAGGTCACTCTTGGGTTGAGCATGCCAGACAGAATACTAGTTACTCACTAGTTTGCAGATGAGAGGTACCTGGCAGAAGATCATGGCCTGGCCAATGGTGATGCTGCCATAGAGGTTGCAGAGGGCCTCATACTTCTGCTCCCAGTTCTGGCAGACAAAATAGTACTGCCTAATGTTGGTCAGAGTGAGCTCCTCCTGTCGCAACTTGATGATGATGGGCCTGGAGACAATTTGCAGGGCAAATTTCCAGAGATTTTCCTTGAAGGTGGCGGAGAAAAGCAGCATCTGGCAGTTCTTGGGGAGAGCCCTGGGGCAGGAGAAGAACTCGTCAGACTTAACAGCTTGTTTGCACTAAGGATTCATTAAAAAGAGGAACTACATAGCACAGTGGACTCAAGAGCACTGATAGTTTGTTAGCCCATGGGACTCATTTACTCTAGGACTTTGTACATTAGCACTTTTTGGTGAAAATTTTACAATTGAACAATGAATGTGAGTCTTATGGAAAAACACAAACAAACCAGCGCATTTTGGAGAAAGCAAGCCCTTTGTGAAAAATCTTACCTTCTTCTTCCCTCCTTTTGCATCTTCCCATGCCAAAAGCAGATTTCCATGACTCACCTCTGGATGCGGATGCTCTGGGAGGAGAATCCCTGCGTGTCAATCATGATATCAGCCTCATCCAGCACAAACATGCAGATCCTCCTCATGTTGAGCAGTCTCCGCTTGAAGCACCAGTCCAGCATGGTGCCTGGTGTGCCAATGACAATCTGCTCCTCCAGCACGGTGCCTGGGGACACTGCCAGAGGGGTTGCAAAAGAAGGGAAGGAGAGGGGCAAAGGGTGCCAAAAAAAGGAAAAAGATACAGGCAAAAAATGGGAGACGGGTGAGGGATGGGCAAAAAAAATGGGAAGGACATGGGAATGGAAACAAGAAAAGGGATGGACAAGGAACAAGCAAGGAACAGTAAAGAAAGGGACAAGGAAGAAGGAAGGAACGGACAAGGCATGGGCAAAACGATGTGCAAAGGGGTTTCCAGCAGGAAACTCCACAAATTATGTGCTTCTGTCAGTTTGATGTGTTTCATGTCAGTTTGTCCCTCACTTTCTCAGTTCCAAAGGGAAGCTCTGAAGCTGAAGCTCTGAAAATTGCAGGCAGCAATTTTTAAGCTTAGTGCTTGCCTGCAGCTTTTTGAGGTTAGATACCAGCAAAATGGGTGTCTGTGTCAAAAAGAAGACAGTAGTCATCAGGGTGGCTCCTTATCAGCAGCATACGTGAATGCAGGCTCCTTCAGCAAGCTCTGCAAGCTTCAGCAAGCCCTGGCACTTCAAGGCTTATGAGGCATTCCTATATTCACTTAGGGATTGCTAACTGCTGTAATCACTCATCAGGGCTGGACTGACCTCTGTTGCCCTGCACAGCATAGGTGACCCTGATGTCATTGCAGAACCGCCCCATCTTCTCTGCCACATGGCCAATCTGCAGGGCCAGCTCATAAGTGGGAGCCAGACAAAGGCACTGGGAGGGGGGGGAGAGGTATTAGGCAACAGGCAGGCATCAAAAAGCATCAAAAAGCATTGAAAAGTACGAATGACTAGCAACTAGCAACCAGGAAGCTGCAGATTATAATGAGCATCAATTAGGATGTTTAATATTAGAGACTTCAAAAAACTGTAACCAGGATGCTCGAGATTACAGTGAGCAGTAACCAGGATGCTTGAGTTTACGATGAGCAGCAATGACGATACTTGAGATTATAATCAACAGCAATGACAAAACGGACACAAACCCAGAGCTCTGCCTGCAACACCCCAAAGCCATACACAACAGCAGCAGACCCAGATCTCTGCCCCTCCCAGCGGCCATGCCCCTGCTGCACACCTGCGGGTATCTCTCAGCACCTTTCACTCTGCTCAGCATGGCCAGGACAAATGCTGCTGTTTTGCCCGTCCCAGACTGGCTCTGTGCAATCAGATTTTGGGGTCTGCAAGGGAAACGTTAGTAAAAGTCTGGGGTCTGTGCGCCGGCACCTGACTCGGAGCAGCACACTGGGCTACTTCATCCCTTCCTGCGGGGCCAGGACTCACGGATGCGCCATCAGGATGGGCAGAGCATTTGCCTGGATCTTCGATGGCCTGTTGAAGCCCATGGTGTACACGCCCTGCAAAAGCTCCTTTTTCCTGCGAAAAAGCACAACCAGGGCGTTCTATAGGAAGTGGGGTGTGCGAGGCCAGGTGCTGGGGGACTCACAGGTGCAGCTCCTCGAAGGTTCTGATGGAGAAGAGCGGGGAGGAGGGGTCCTGCTGCAGCACCTCCACGTGGTGGCTGTTCTCTACCAGAGAGGTGTGGAGCAGCTTGTTGAGCAGTGAACTCTCAGCCAGGTCCTCTGCAAAGTGGGGACAAACATGCGTAACAGAAAACCATGAAATTGTGAAAAAAATGGATAAATTTGTGAGAAGAATATGCAAAGCGGTGAATCCATGAAGAAAGGGACGAATCAGTTGGAAAAAAAAAAAAAAAAAGCATGAGAAAAACTGATGACAAAATTTGAAAAAAAAAAAAAAAAAAAAAAGGTTCATTCATGATAAAATTGTGGGGAAAAAAGAGAAAAGGAAAAAACTCATGAAGAAATTGTGGAAGAAAAAAACGGGATTCAGTAAAAAAAAAGCCAAAACCAACTAAAAGCAAGACATATCCATGACAATTCCTTAGGTAGAGCGCCATGAATTTGTAAAATAAAAGAATAACATGAAAAAATGATGACTTCTTGCAAAATTTCTGAAGAGAATGCAACAAATTCATGTAAAAAAGTGATCAATCCATGAAAAAACAAATGGAATTGTGAAAAATGTGTGAAATGTTTGGAAAAAAATAATGAAAAACCTAATGAAAATATTGTGTAAAAAGAGAAAAAATTGGTGAGCAGCAACATCTCATCCACATCTTCTAAATAGGGAGAACAGAGCATGAATTAGTGTAAAAGAAGCAATATATTTGGGAAGAAGTGAAAAAATGTGAAAAAGGTGAAAAATGAAAAACAATAAATTCATGAAAAAGGTTGTGAATAAAAAAAAATAATAAATGTGAGGGGAAAATACATGGATCTGTAGGAAAAGGTGAAGAATTTGTGAAAAAGTGAAAAAAATAGTGGAAAAAAGTTAAAAATGTAGAAAAAGACTGAAAAAAGGTAAAGTTCAATTAATTTGTATGAAAAAAAGACGTAAATTTGTGAAAAGAATGCGAAATAGGATGCAATGAACGTGTGAAAAAATGATGCATTCTTTAAAAAATGCATGGTATCAAAAACTGGTCACACATTTGTGAAAGAATTGGGTGAATTCATGATGAAATCTTGAAAAAAAAAAGTTAAAAAATCAGGAAGAAATTGGGGTGAAAAAATGGAATGAATTCATGAAAAGCCAACACGGTTATCTGATGTGATACAGTGATATGAAATATGAACGACTAATAATGATAGAATGAAAAAATGTTAAATTCACGAAAAAAGTGAAAATGAATTTTTGCAAATTCTGTTTAAATGAATTTGTTTGGAAAATCTGAAATTTGTGACAAAACCGTGAAAGAAAAAAGATCAATTCTAAAAAAAATTGTGAAAACAATGAATTTGAAAGATCTGTGAAAAAAAAATGAATTCACAGAACAAAAGGGATAAGCTTGGGAAAATGTGTGAGAAAAAGCAAGAAATTTGTTTTTCAAAGTCTTGAAATATGCCCCTGATCTGTGAAAAAGTAGCGGGACCAACGAATTCATTTAAAAAGCAAAAAAATGTTAAAACAGAAATTATGAATTCAAGAAATGAGAAATATTTGGGAAAAATACATGGAAAGAAATCAATGAAGTCGTGAAAGAATTGTAAAATAAATTCTTGAAAACAGTGACGAATTTCTGAAAGCTGTGAGGAAAAAGAACGAATCCGAAAACAATCGGCAGAAAGTATTTGGGGTGGAAAAAGCGATAAAACTGAAGAAAGGCAACGGAGTCATAAAAATGAAAAGGTGTGAAGCGATTAATTAACGGACAGAGGAGGCCGAGCCGCCCGCACAGCAGCCGCCCGCCAGCCGCCCGGCCCCTCGCAGCGCGGCGCCCCCCCCCACTCCGAGGCGCGGCGCCCCCACCGGGACGCGCCGCCCCAACGCCCCCAAAGCCGGACCCGGCGCCGCGCGCACCTCTCTCCTCTTCCTCGCTCTCCTCATCTTCGCCGGTGCGGAGGGGCTCTGCGGAAGGGAACCGAAGGGGAGCACTCGGCACGGCCCCGGCCGGGTGTCCGGCCCCGGCCCCGTAGCCCCGCGCGCTGCCCTCACCCCGACAGTGCCCGGGGAGCTCCCGCCGCGGGCCCGGGGAGACGGACCCGTCCTGGCGCCGAGAAGCGAAGCCGTCCCGGCCGAGCGGTTTGGAGCTCGGGTAGCCGCCCGGGGACGGGCTGCGCCCCGGCGCCCTCGGCCGCTGCGGCCCTCGACCGCCTGAGGCCGCCGCCATGGAGCCGCCGTTCGACGGAGAAAATGGCGGCGGTGCGGCGGTCCCGGGAGGGGAACGGCAGCGGGACGGGGTGTGAGGGGTCAGGGACGTGACAAGGGACCGCAGCACGGAGAGCGAGGGAACGTGGAGACAAGGATAAGGACGGAACCCCGCCGCGGGCTACGAGGGGTCACGGGGACGAGGGTAGGAACGAGGACTCCGTCGTGGGGCGTGAAGGGACGTGAAACAGGGAGAGGGACGGAGATGCACCGTGGGCAGGGACGGCGTTTGGGCAGGGATGGGGCCTCAGTACCCTTCTCTGTCCCCACCCAGGTTACTGGGGGTGGAGCCGCTGCTGTCACCGTTGCAGGAGGGCAGCCTCTCAGCACCGCAGTGCATACGCTCTGAGGCCAGAAGACCCCCAAAATGCTGGAAAAATGCTTTTGGAAATCTTCCCATCATCCAGGTCTGTGTTTCCAGATCAGTCTAGCAGGCATGGATCTCATGTTTGTGCTCATTGTTGTCAACTAAACACATCAAGACATCTTTCTCATCATCTCTTTCCAGGCTCAAGTTTAAGTTATGGACTGTAAAAACAAAAAACAAACAAGTGTAAGAGTTCTGTAAAAATGTCATGTAGAAGAAATCTCCTCATGCAGTGTCCCTTTGGTGTCCAGGCACTGCCTCAGAGTCCTACAACCCTAGAAGCTTAGAACCTTACAGTCCTAAAAATGTAAAAACTCGAATCCTAGAAACCTGGTATCAGGAAATCCTAGAATCTTAGAATCCTAATGTCTTAGAATTCTGGAATCATTTAGGTTGCAAAAAACCTCAAAGCTCATCAGCCCAACAAAGGAGATGCAATGACAGTCCCTCCAACTGCTACCCAGCAACACAAGCCCAGGGCCCAGCAGGGTGATGTGCCACAAAAAGTGGATGTTATGTCATGGATACAAGTGATGTGCCACAGATAGGGTTTAGAAGTAGAGTTAGTAGTGCTGGATTATTGGTTGGATGTACTGAATACACTCTACCCTCCTAGACCCCATTTAAGCTCTGACCACCACTGGGGAAGGATCTCTTTCTGGAGATCCCTCCTTTTTCGAATTTTCCACTGTGAGCCTAGATCCTCGGATACGAGTAAACATTTTTTCTTCGATTGTCTCTTTTCCACCATGATAATCTTTTTTCCACAAGGATAATCCTAACCGCGCTACTCTTCCAACTGTACATTTATTGACTGTACAAACGTATAGATGAGAAACTCTTCCACCTGACTGCTCCCTGGACAATTCTCAAAGCAAATATTCAAGTGATCTTTTCACAAATGGCCCATCTCTTATGTAAATATCCACTCAAGCTGTGAGCAGATACATATTCTGTCAGATGTAACACTTAAAATTGGCATATCGTGTTTCCTTGAAGAATCATCAAGTCATTTACAGTTTTAAGTTATTTATCAGTGTTTCATTACTCCTCTCTCTTCGTCTGAAGATAAATTAAGACTCACTTTATTTGAAACTATGACAGGAGGCTTTTTTGTTCCCATAATGGGAACAAAACCAGTAGGACATCTTTGTTCTGCTGAAAGTTAGGCACATAGTCCAATGACTTCGAAACTTAATAACCTTTTCACTCTCAGCCTTTGATTCCCAGTCTGTGTGTCCTAGTGACAGACAGAGGCATCACTATTTCCACTGCAGGTATGCGATACAGACTTCTGGATAGAACATGGTGATTTCTGACTGTCAGCTATTAAAAAAGAGAACATGTATCTCCTGATGAGACTTTTGGAATCTCATCCCACCCATATGATTCACGATTCTGTGGTTTTATGACTCTGTGGTTCTGTGGTTCTATGATTCCATGACACCCGGAATCTGAGATTTTATTATTCTAAAAGTTGTGGTACACTTCTGTTCTTCTGTCTTACAGTTTTCTTTCAGCTTTGTGGTGGGCTCCCAGGAGATTCTGTCAGCAGCATGGAGCAGGGACAGCACAGGGACAGGGGAGGGAAGGGGACAGGAGAGGGACAGGCAGAGACAGGGGCAAGATAGGGAAAAGTCTAGGGTAGGGACAGGGCAAGTGATAGGGACAGGGGCAGGAGATGGGCAAGAAAGGGAAAGGAGAGGGGCAGGGGCAGTGACAGGATAAAGAAAAGGGTGAGGATGGGTGTGGAGGTAGTGGTAGGGTAGGGACAGGGACAGGACCAGAACATGGGCAAGGAGATGGAGGATCAGGGACAGGACAGGAACAGGGATGGGTAAACAGGGAATGGGGGCACAGCAGGGCCTGGTCAGGGCTACGTCAGAGGCAGGAAGGGACTTGAAAGGGGCAGGACTGGAGACAGGCACTGCTGGGACTGCTGACACTTTGTGGTGGTGAGGATGAAGGGATGCCTGCTGTACTTCCAGTGGTGAGAAGTAGAAGATTGTGGGGATTTCTCGCTTTTTATTTATTTTCTCCAAATAGCTTATTAATTGCTATGACTAGTGACTGTGGTTAATGCTCTGATTGATTGGGTAATGGCAGCTCCATTAGTAGACTGCAGGTTTGCAGGGGAATTTTCCACCAAGGAGGGATCTCCAGACAGAGATCCTTCTCCTGTGGCAGTCAGCCCTGAAATGGGGCCTAAGGGAGGTGCAGCCAGGCTCCAGCCCTTCCTGTTACACAGCTGAATTGCCTTCACCTGTGCTCCCATGGCTGACCTGGTCCTTTCCCACAGGTGCTCAACCAGTGGTTCAGGCTGGGACTCAACAGTTCCCATGCAGAGTCCTTCACAAGTCGCAGTGCAGGAATCTGCTAGGATGTCGTTCTTTAGGGTCTGCCAGGGGCAACCATGGTCTTCTTTACAGCTTGCAGGAGCAGCTCTGCTCTGACACTTGGAGCACTTTCTTCCTCTACTTCATCACTGACCGTGGTGTCTGCAATATTCTTTCTTTCACATTTTTCCTCCTCCTCTCTCACAGCTGCTGCACTGTGTCAGAAATAACTTTGATTTACAACTCCAGACTTGGCAAGGGCAAACAGTGGCCTTGACAGGAAAATGAGTGCTATATTTTCAGTTCTGAAATAACCAGCTTAGGGATGTTTAAAACTGGCTGCAGGAGCTGACAGCACTGAGGGTGCTCCATGTGGAGCCTGGATATTGTAAGATGGAGCTAGCAGTGCAAGTGCTGAAATACAGGAAGAGCCATTTAAAGAAAAAACTCCTGAATTCTGCCATCCTTGCTAATTCCCACAGCTAAACATCATGCCAAACAGCATCTTGAAACTGAACATTTTTTGTTCATTAATGTTTCACTTTTTCTTTCTATCCTGAAATATAATATCAGTAGTGGACATGCCAAAGAAGTTGCCCAATACATTCCAGCTGGACATAAACGCTCACTTGTGTGGTAAAGCAGTGCCTAGAAACCTGCAACGACTGCTCCTTATCCATGTTCACTGGATTTTCTTCCTGGTAAATGGAGTCTGAGTATTTTTACCTATAATGGCACCAAGTGTTGAACACTCATCTTTAATTTAGCATCAAAGATGGTTTTTCTGCTTCTATAAATGACCATTCACTCAAAAAATACAGCTGTTTCTCAAGCACAACTGCCTAACTCTATGGTTAAGTGCTGATCTCTGACACCTTGGGACCTTCTTTCCCGAGGCCAACCCAATGTAATTCACAAAAACTTATGTTAAGAGAAAAATAAATTAAAACAGTTTTGGTAAAACAGAGGCTTTTAGCAACCTCCTTTCGGTAGTCAAGAAGTAGTAAGGAAAACACCAATCCCCATTTTTTAATTGATGCTTATACCAAAATGCCTCCAGTATGTACAATCCCAAACAGAATCCTCTGGGGAAGTTCAGTCCCACCTGAGCTTGGCCAGCACATTCACCCCAAACACACACAATGGCTGCATTCACACAGCAATACCCAGGAGCAGGGTTTAATGAGAGCAGGAGAGCACAGTGATCAGGCAGCGTCTGCTCAGTGCAGCACTGACCACCCTGCCCACACACAGCTGGACCCTTGCATTCAGCTCCTCATCTTTTCCACCGACCTTCATTCACTCAGTCCTCCCTCTCTCTGCTGCAGTCGTTTCCCATTATCAGCTCTCACATACTATATTTCCACTTTCCCCTCGTTTGCTATACCCATACTCCCATTTGGCAGTTCAGACACCATTCACCCCTTCATTCCCTGTTCATCCGGACCTGAGATGGCATCATGGTGGGTTCCCAGAGCACTGCTGCCTTTGTGAGCCCTGACTGCCCACCAGGTCGCAGTGCTGCCTTCCAGCTCTCAGTGCCCTCTGCGCATTTCCCACCTCTCTGCCTCCTGATGCGATGCGAGCTGCTGCTGTCCCTCACAGCATGGCCTCTGCTCCCTTCTCACACTGCTCTGTGTCCCATCAGGCAGTGACCGTCCTTGTCCCACCCTTTCCTGCACACAAGTGGTGAGTTTTTTCCACTTCCTATGATGCAAATTAATAGAATCGCAGATTTGGATTGGAAGGGACATTAATGAACAGTTCCAAACCTCATACCATGGGCAGGGACACCTTCCACTAGTTCACATCACTGAAGTGGCCAATAATAAGTCTATAGTTGTTTGATTTTATGACCTAAGAATGCAGACTCTGGGCAGGAAGTGTTCTGGTGCACTGTGTTCCATGAAATACAGAATATTACACTTTTATAATTCTGCAGGGCTCAGTATTACAGATTTGTTTTTAGAAAATTACCCCCCCCCCCAAAAAAAAAAAAAAAAAGTTCAAGAGGATTCACAGTACTTTAGTTGGGGCCTCATGAAGGCAGAGTAGAGAATGATGATCGCCTCCCTTGCCCTGCTGCCCACCACTCTTTTGTTGCAGTCCAGAATACTGTTGGCTCTCTGGACTACCAGCACACACTGCTGACACAGGTGAAGCTTTTTGTCTACCAGGGAAGCCCAAGACCTTGGCAGGGCTGCTGTCGAGGAGTTCTCCTGTCATTTGGTAGTTGTGCTCTAGAATCCTGCCTTCAGGCATGAAAGCCAGGGAAGCATTGCTGGTGAAGACAGAGGCAAAGAAGCCGTGAGGTACATCAGCCCTCTCTGCTCCTGTGCTTATTAACACAACAGTAGGCCTGCACCATCCCTGTCTACTCTTTTACTTGTAAGGAAACTCTATCAGCTGGAGCCTTCACACTCCTCTGCAAGTATCAGGTCCATGTCAGGTGAAAGCAGCCAAAGCTGCCCTGACTATCACAGCCCTGACCAGCTCCCTGTCGGCCAGTGTGAGACCCAGCGAAGCATCACCTGTGTTTCCCCCAGCAGCTGTGTGAAGAAGTTGGCTGAACTCGGTGGCCTGTTGTTCTGCTTGGCCAGAGAATGCCAGGGCAATTGCAGCTCCCATAGGCAGCTGCTCATTGATCTGCAGAGACGTCAGATTGCTGACAAAAGACTTCTGCTTGCTCTCCTTGATCAAGCAGTTGGTCTGATCAAGACCACACAACAGTTAATGAATGATGTTATTCTATAATAGCTCAAGTAACCAAAATGAGAGAATCTTTTTCATGGTGTACTGCAGGTGAGTCGTAGGCTCATTCACTTCTGGACACTTAAAGATACAGTTTGCGAAGGAA